TAATTTTCTCCAGCACAGCAGCGTGGCTCCTTGCTCTGTAATTCCCAGAATCTCCTTGGATCTGATAGGCATCACGTTATCCGCTTTCTAGGCTTTGAGGATAATTGCTGCTTCTTAAGGACTCTTGGGATGTTGTAGTATCTCCGGTGGCATCCTTCATCCATGCCAGGCTCCCATGGCACTGGGGAGTGCCAAGCTAGCACAGTGCTCCTCAAAAAGCCCATGGAAGCTCGTTCAACCCCAGGTTGGCTCTTTGACCCTTTGTTTTCCCCCACTCCTTGACCGTGTGGTGCGTTTGGGTTGTTGGATGTTTTTGGTTTAGGCAGAGCCCAGGCCTGATGCTGGGAGATGAGCTGGCCTTGGCAGCTGAAGGTACAAATCTGGTGCTGCTGGGTCTGCTCTGTGCCCTGGGCAAGTCATGTTGTTCCTTGTGTCCAGTTTAGGCTTCAAGATTGCTTCTCCCCTTGCACCCACAGCTGTGGTCCCGAATGCTGCCTTAATAAATGTCTTTAATATATTCTTGCTGCTGCTGTAGAGACAGAGGTGAGTGCTTCTTGCAGTGATTTTATGCCTTATCTTTCCTGAACCCCTTCTCCAGGGTTATCCCACCATCCCGGTGTCCTTGCTCTCAGGTAGGAGCACTTCTTCCATAAAGGTCGGTTTGTGCCTCCTGAGCAGGAGCTGATGGCTCAGTGAGGACAGGCTTTGTAGGGACACCTTGGGTTGGGGTCTGTGCTCCAAACCTGGAGTTGGGGGTTTGTTGCTGGAGGACCTTTCAGCTGAGGTCAGATGTGGATGGTCTGGATACATGCTGGTCCTGGCCTGTCTGCCCGGCCCAAAATTCCTCTCTTCCTACCCACCCAAGGGCTATAAATAACAAATAACAACTCCCAGGCTGGCAGCTATTTGGGGGTTTGTGGGTTTTTTTGCTTTGTTTTGCTTTGTTGCATTTAGGAAGTGACTTTTCATAGAAACCATTACTTTTTTGACTGGATTCCTCATTGTCCCAGGACTGAGCTGTTTATCCAGAGCTTTGCCCAGGTGAGCAGAGGGACACAGGGGCAAATGCTCTAGGAGGGAAGTGAAGCTGCGCTGGATCCATCCCTGGGCACTTTTCCTTCTCTTCCCTTCCCACCCTCCTTTTCCTTCCCCTGAATATCCTAGGATCTGAAAAGGCTTCAGTGCATTAATTTCAGACTGAATGTAAATAAGCCATTTGGATTTTTCCCAGTTGAGCAAACTTTCAAACCAGAACTTTGCTTTCCTCTCCTCCAGCCTGGCTCGTGGGATTGGAGGGATTTGCCTCAGTGCTGTCTCTTCTGCACTTGAAACCACTTCATCAAGCTCTAAGATATCCCTGGAATAGGTCAGACAGGCACCTGGTTGGGCCAGGCAGCATGTACAGGAAAACCAGGGGAGATTACACACTTGTTTTATCTGCATAAAGCAGATCAGAAAGCTCCCAAACTAAATATTGCCGCAAGGTAGCGTGTTGTTAATGGCAAACGCCTCACTAGACTGTCTCTGTTTCTGTCTCCATCCGACATTATCTCGTCCCTGACCAGCCATTCCTGAGGGATTAAAGGGGGAGAGAAGGGGGGACGGGAGAGTCTCCTCAGCT